AGACTGTGAAGATGAAGAGAGGCAGTTGCAGGCTATGTGAACCTTTGTATTTCCATACTCACAAGCTCGGTGCTGTGTTTACTTTGGTTAGAAGCTGTTTCTTCTTCTTTTTTTCTTTTTCTTTTTCCCCTCTAAATAGCATTTTGGACAGACCTGGCTTGGGCACCCTGCCTGACACCCTCAGATATTTGGCAGAGACCCTTCTCTCCATTTAAAGACTATACATTACCCTTCCTTTTGAGCCACACACTCTGTTCTCATTAATGGCAAGCAAAACATCTCTGCTCAATGGGGGAACAATGCACACTTTTAATTCCATCCCGTCTGGTAGGGAGAGGTCTGGACTGCCACATGCTTGGAGTGGCAGGGGATGAGAATGCCCAGCGGGACGCATTTCTGAAGTGCGCTGGGTGAGTGCTGCAGTCCTTTTTCTGTCACAGCCAGTCAGCTTGCTAATGTGATTTTTTGCAGTAACGTAGACAGCCATCACCTTTTTTTGGTTTCCACAGACCATAGAAAGAGGTTCAGCCATGAGGATGCGAAAGGAGCAACCAGCTGAAGGCGGTGATCCAAAATGTAATTCTTCCTTGATGTGGAGAGATCATAATGTCAGTACTACTTACACCCAAATGCAACCCAAGCTAATACAAAAACTGGAAAGAGTAGAAAACTTTCTGCCAAAATGCAGTAAAAACAATAGCTGTGAAGTTCGAGTCACTGCATAGTTTTGAGATGGCTTAATCCTTCAGGTAACACTTTCCTAAAATAGGAATATTTTAGCATAAAAGTATCAGTCTTGCTAGACATTTATGCCAATTTCCTCATGGTCTTTTCAGAGCATAGGATTACAGTTTTATAACATAAAGAATATATCTTTCCTCCAAATACTGCAGGTACAAGCCGGTTCCATTCTGGGAGGTTCCGTCACTAACTTACTACAAGAAAGACTGAGCCACTACTGAAGAGTTACTATCCTTTTGAGCGAGCATGAGTTACTAGCCATTCCCAGAGAAAGACTTTTTAAATCTTTTGTCATGTAAGCAACAGTAACTCTGCTGTTGCTAAAAGAATAGATGTAGTCTGATTGTATGGGGTTTATTTTTCCTTGGAAATGGAAGTTTTGGGGTTATTCTGCATTTCTCTACTATAACAAAAAACATTATAGGGCCCTTTTATCCTTTTCCCCAAGACCTGTGGCTTCATTTCATTTCACATACATCTCACAAACATTACCACTTCAAAGCAAGCAGTTTGTTTTATGGTTCTAGCACCAACTCTGTTGCCACTGCTGGGAATAACCCAGAGCAATCTATTGTTGCTGTCCGTCAGAGGCTGTATCAGCTCTCATTCACGCTAGCACCTTCTACAGTTCTACAGTGCAGAACCACACTGTTGGACAAAGACAGAAAACAACCATAAAAGGAACAAAATAGTCAGGAGACAGAGTAAGGTCTATGAGAAAAAAAATTAAAATTAAACTGTTACACAAGTAGCTTGCAATTAGTGATTTAACAGCAAGGCAAGTGCAAGGAGCATAGCTGTGACAAACTCGAGACTCAGAAATGCAAGCTGTCCTAAAAAGAGAGATGTCAAGTGGGCGCTGCCATTCAGGAACATGCATAACCAATACATTTTTTGTACAAAAACTTGGTCTTCTGTGTTGCAGTTTTAAGAAAAAATGTTAAAATATTTAGTACTGCTTTCAAAGCACTTTTAGTTATGAGCTTACACCAGACCCTTTCAATGTGGGTTTCTAAAGCTATATCAAAAGCAAACGAAAGTACAGATGCTACACACAGCTGACATTCAGGCCAAATCTTAATGAGCTGGATGTGGTCTTCAGCACTTGTTTTCAGACCCCCAAATTCAAGCTTCTTATTGACGACTGAATTATGACTCCTGTCCCTATT